CACACACACACACACACACACACATATATATATATTAGTTCAAATAGCTAAATTTGTGAATAACAATTTATATATATACATAATAATTAAAACTCTCAATACTTTCAAATCTCAAAAAGGAATTTTGGGAATTATGAATGAAGGCCAGAGGCCTCTCATGAGTGTCTTACCAGGGTATGAGAGTGATAGTGGTGTCTCAGCGTAGCGGACGTGGTTCTGCTCTTTCCGTCGTTTCATCTTGCTGGCAACAGGTAAGGACAGCGGACGGAGAGGGGAGTCTGGGATCATCCCCTCCTCGGCCTCAGAACACACATTCTGCGGAGAACTAGACTCATACAGAGACATCCACTTAAAACAGACGCTCATGTGATGCACATTATCATTACAGATCTCCACAGACATGTGGAGGCTTTTTGTCATGTTTCATTTGACTTTGAGACTCACCCTGACTTTCTAAGTCGCTCCAGCTCAAGACTCAGTTTCCTGTTTTCATCTTTCAGAGTCTTCCTCTCTGCCTCTAAACTCACCGACACACATTACAGCAGATGGGTTGGTAGTAATAGAGGAGCAGATATTCCCTCACAGATGAGATACAATACAATACATAATAATAATAAAACAAAAATGCTCACCAAGTTCAGAGATGACAGACAGATTTTTCTGATGAGTATCTTCAAACTCAGTGTTGGTCTTTTTAATCTGCTTCTCCGTCACAGCGCAATGGTCACATGGTCCAGAACGCACCCTAAACACAGAGACAAAAAAAAAAACAGCAACTAAGATTAGGAAAAAAATAAACAATGTGTTGCTAAAAAGATAAAAACGTCCTTTTCAGAGCACCTGTCCTCTAACTGTCTGCTCTTCTCCTGCAGGATCTTCTGTTGTTCTCGTAACTGCTGGTTCTTGCTGTGAAATTCACCCAGTCTCTGAGCATCTCTGAGAGGAAAGCAGAATTATCACAGTTAGAGATCATATCTGACATTACAGAATACTTTAAAGGGGTCATATGATGCGATTTCTCTTTGGAGTGTTACAAGCTGATTGTGCATAGATAAGATCCCTGAAGTTGCAAAGACTAAAGTCTCAAAACCAAAGAGATATTCTTTATCAAAGTTAAGACTCTGCCACACCTACCTAAAACGGCTCGTTCTAACACGCCCCCACATATCTACATCACTATGTGGAAATATTAGCATAATGCGCCCAAATGTTCACGCAAAGAAAGAAGGCGTGGTTTCAGTAACCGCAGTTAGTGTTGAAGCAGCATGTCAGGGAGACGCTGTGTGTTTCTAGGCAAAAGCAAAAGCACTTTATTTGGCCTTCCGAAAGTAGATGCATTTAGGAATCTTTAAGATTACTTACAACAGAACAACAATGCATTTTATGGACGACCGTTTCGTGAACCTAGGTGAGGAGGTCATTCTGACTTTGCTATGACAATCTGACGCTTATGAATCAGCTACCGTTTTGTTATTAGTTTAAGTATTTGCTATTGACTGTTCAAATTACAAATTACAGCAAAATAAAGACCCTTCACATTTTTTAATGATCATCAATTATCAGTCTATTTAAAACCAAATCATTAAACCAAACTGATATATAAATCTTCATGGAACTTTTTAAATTATATATTCTTATACAGTAAGCCTTAAACTTACAGACAGCGCTCTTTCTTCAGTTTGGTTATTTTTGCCTGCAATTCTGAAAATGAGAAAAGCTGATGTCAGTGCAAAAGCAAAAACATATCATATTGTTTTCAATTGATTAGACATCCTTTTTGATTATTAAAATGTAATGAAACCAATAAAAACACTGGATTTTACTTTAGCTTTTTTTTTTTACTAACAAGTTAGATATATGCATTTAAAAATAAAAAAGAGCTAAAAGCTAAATTTTTAAACATACCTGATGACATCTTAGATATCTAATGCATTAGTAAGGTAATGCAACTGTCAGATAGCAATTAGCATTCGAACAGATCCAGAATCTACAGTTTGTGCTTGTGCAGGGAAAGAGAAAGCTCTTGTACCTTGCAGAGCAGTGTCATGGATCTCTCTCACGGCACTCAGCAGATGCTGGAGTTTCTCTCTGGAGTCTGCAGATGTGCTGGAAGCAGGGCTCAGATCTGAAGTACTCATCCTCAGTCAGTCTATCAGACTCCTTCTGTCTGCTCACCTCCAACACACGAGGGATGACCAAAGTACTTCCACATAAAGTTGACATTCGCTATTTCACACAGCTGACTGACTAATATGTTCCTTTCGGCTGTTTACACAACGACACCATGCGCTACATGTATCCGAGCATAAGAATAAAACAAGTCTATTATAAATAGAAATGCGCGTATCACAGCTCCTGATATTTCTGTTCCATCATGTAAATATTCGGATTCCGCGCCTCGCGGAGGATTCTGGGAGTTCAGCTGCGGCCAATCAGAAGAGCGTTACTGGCATCTAGTGGCCAAAACTGCATTAAGAACGAAAAATAGAAGATTCGAAACTGTGTATTGCTTTATATTATATTATTTTATATGCAACTGGATAGAGTAACTCTAATAGGTGAAATAATTGCACTGTATTTGTGAAAATATCAAACATTAATTTAAAAATAATCGTTATTATTATGAAAATTATTCATTATTAATATTTTTATGCAAATTTAAAAAATACATTATATCATTAGAAAAATAATCTATACATTATATCACACACACACACATATACACATATATATATATATATGCGTATATATATACACACACGTTAAAACATAATAATAATTTAACATTATATAACATTATATATATATATATATATATGTGCGTGTGTGTAATAAATTTTCAAAAAATTACATTATTTTACACGCATAGCAATTTATAATGTTGTATATAATATATTAGAACTATAACAATATATATACACACACGTTAAAACATAATAATTTAACATTATATATATGTGTGTGTGTAATCAAATATTAATTTAAATATGAATATTTTCCAAAAAGTACATTATTTTACACACATAGCAATTTATAATGTTATATATAATATATTAGAACAATAACAATATATACACACACACGTTAAAACATAATAATTTAACATTATATATGTGTGTGTGTGTAATCAAATATTAATTTAAATATGAATATTTTCCAAAAAGTACATTATTTTACACACATAGCAATTTATAATGTTATATATAATATATTAGAACTATAACAATATATATACACACACGTTAAAACATAATAATAATTCAACTTTAAAAAGCAATAAGAATTTTCTACTTTATAGGTAAATAGTGAAATTGTATTTCTATCTATCCTCTAGTCCAGTAGGTGTCGTTTAATCAAACGGTAACACAGCAGATTCGCCGAAGAAGACTCAGCACCGGAAGTGAGGCTAAACTTTGCTCCACACAGCGGAAAACAGCTGTTGTTTAGAAACAGGGAAAGATAGGTAAGTTCGGCACTGTACTTTATCGCTGCCGTTGCTTTTTCTACCTGTCATAATAGTTATATGTTAGTCTTATTTACTTATTTGGAATATATAGTCGACAGTAGTGAATGTCGTTGGCTTTATAAGGAGATAGCTAACGGGGTTAGCCAGCTCTGCTAACTTTCTTCTCGACGTCAGACTGATGAGACACTTGAAAAATATAATTTATTTAATGCTTTTTATCTACTGGTCAAATCATCATAGCATGTTATTATACACTGGAAATGAGAATAAATAACTCATGTTTACTTCATACTCCTCATCTTTGGAGAAGCAGAGACTCTGATCTGAGCTGTTGACATGTCGATGTGTGCTAAAATATTAAGAATATATGATTTATGATGCGTTATTTTAATACACTACGAATATAGATAATAGTATTATTGTTATTACAGATTGTAGGAGCGTTTATTGTAAGTTAAATGTCAGTAAATGAAAAAAAAATCCTTTATGATGGATGACAGCTGCTCATCTTCTGTATTCAGTATTTCTGTTTATCTGATTTTTGTTTCCTTCTGCAAGATTTTTACATTTAATTTGATTACTTACTGGTACTTAAATAGATTTTACACAAAGATTTGTTTTGAAGCAAGTACATATTAATTTATTTAAAAACAGAAATGCTTGGTTTTGTACTTGCATGTAACGTGCTCTGTCATTTCTCCCTAGGATGCCTGGGCAGAAAAGAAAGATGCCTTCTTCTGAACCTGAAGTGAAGAAAACAAAGATAGATCAAAGTCTCGTGGAGTCAGATAAAACTCAGATGCCCAAGAAGTCTTTGAGAGGAAGACCTCCAAAAAACAAAGCGTTGGAAACTCTGTCGTCTAAGCAGAGACAACAAGCACAGCCGAGGGAAGAAAATGGAAAACCTGTTCGACGGTCGTCTCGCTTGAAAACGCCACAAAAGAAAAGCTCAAGAGGAAGGCGGCGGAAAGATGAGGGGAAGCCGAAAGTCTCTGGAGATAAAAAATCTCAAAATATGTCTGTCTTGAAGAAAGGAGACAAGAAATATGTTTCAAGAGTAAAGAAAGAAAAGCCATCCATCTCTGAAACAATTAAAACAGTCGCAGCCTTGTTTCCTGTGCAAATAGAGCACAATTATGGACGATTGCTTGACCTTCAAAGTGAGGAGATAACGTTACCCAAACCTGACAAAATTCACGTGGCCAATATAAGCGATCTGCAGTCGCTTCACGAACCGCGAGTGAGCAAAGTCGAAGAGCATAAGGAGCTTCCGACAGACCCTATTGAGAAAATCACAGTGAGTGTGGATGCAAAAGTAGATGTGATGAGCAAATCTCCTCCACCTCTAGAGGCGCTTTTCAAAGTCATCCAAGAAACCAGCATCACGAAACACTCCTTCGCCGGTAAAGACATTTCCGACATGGATGAGTTAGAAGTTGTGAACACGTGTTCCCTGCAGGACAGCGTACAAGGTACCGACATGGCAAAAGTGTTTCTCCCGGATGCAGAAGCATTTCTGGATGACGATATTGAGATTGAACATTGTGTGGTGGAGATCGAAACTTATGAGGATTTGGAGGAGGAGGACACCGTGAAAAAGCAAACAGGTGAAGCTGTGACGTATAAGGAGGTCACTTCTTCGCCCTCTTTGCCCCAGGAAAGTGCGACGGACTCCTCGCAAGGGCTTCCTAAAAAGCAGGCCATGAACCCGCAGGCTCGGACGAAGGCACGTCTGGCGGCTTTAGCTGAAGAAAGGGCGGCTGCCACTAAGAAACCCCAAACTCGACAGCTCAACCTGCTTGCTCTCTGTGAAGAAATCGCAGATGATATTGCATCCGATGCTCCGGGAACTTCAGATGAGAAAAATATTGAGCAACAACAGGAGGCGAGTGAATCAACGGAGGTTTGCGAAACCGAAAAAGAGGCGTCTGAAAACGCCGCACCCCCCGAAACTTCTAGTGTTGAGACTGATGATCCCAAACCTGAGGATGGTACGCCCAAGAAACGTTTTTTCCTCAGCCAGGTGTCTTTGCCGCTCAAGACCCAGGAGAAGAAGAAACTCTCCCGCTATCAGAGGCTCAGGCAGGTGGAGCTTCAGCGGGATAAGTTGACTTGGACCCGTGTTAAGAAGCTGAAGTCGGATCAGGCGAGTCAGGCTGGTTCTTCCAAGGAGACTGACGCTCCATCGGTCTCACCCTGCCCGGCCACCACCCCTGCACAGGTTCCTGTGCCAGAAAGCGTGCCCAAAGTAGGCTCCAATGAACCCAGGAGGGCACTTCCGGCTCAGGCGCCACCCATGCCTAATGGAATCACCAGCCCCAAACCCAAACCAGTTGTGGAATATAAAGCCTACACTCCCAGATGCAAGTATTCACCAGATGACTTTGAGCTTGATGGTCTTGAAGAGGAGACGAGCAAACCAGCAGCACCCAAAAATGAGGTGAAACATTCATGCATTACATTACACAAAATGTTCACAGGTTTAGGGTCAGTAAGGTTTTTTGAAAGAAATTCACACTTTTATTTAACTAGGATGCATTAAATTGATCAGAAGTGACAGTAAAGACACTTAGAACTTTACAAAAGATGTTTTTTCAAATAATGCTGTTCTTTTGAACTTTATATTCATCAAAAGATCCAGAAATGTTTTTTTATATCTGTTTATACAAGATTTTATACATTTAAATTTAAAAGCACAACTGTTTTCAACATTGATAATAATAAAAATGTTTCTTGAGCAGCAAATCATCATATTAGATTGATTTCTGGAGGATCACGTGACACTGAAGACTGGAGTAATGATGCTGAAAATTCAGCTTTGCATCACAGGAATAAATGACATAAAAAAAAATATTCAAATAGAAAACAGTGATTTTAAATTATAATAATATTTCACAATATTTACTGTATTTTGATCAAATAAATGCAGCCTTGGTGAGCATAAGAGACTTCTTTAAAAAAAATCATACACAACTCCAAACTTTTGAATGGTAGAGTAATTTGTAAAATAGGGATTACAACAGAGCCTCATCCCTGAATATTAAACTTCAGCAAATAATATGCTCAGCATCATTTATGACTTGATACCTTAATGATACCTCAAATTCTACAGGTTGTTGAGGAAGGATGTACGATTCTTTTCGTTAGCTGTCAGACTTACAATTTATAGTCTAAAATATATTCTACACATTATTTGAATTAAATATATATTCTCTTTATGAAATGTCTACATGCTTACACTCTAAACAACCACAACAATTGATCACAATAAGTGTCATTCTCACAGGTCAAACCAGAGCAGTCCTCTTCATCAGCTAAAGTGCAGCCCAAACCAGCAGTGGAGAGAAAGCCATGCGTCCCCACTACTGCAGGTAAACATTGTATTCATTCATTTGTTTTTGAGTTGAACAAAAAAGCCGGACTTTTCTCAGTCTTGCAATGCTAGTTTCAAAATCTGCACTTGTGGATCTTATCATACCAGTTAATGAATTGTTAAAGTGTTAAACGCATGCTAAATGAATGATCCTTGGTAGTATGTGTAATAATACACCTTTTTTTTTTTTTATATAACTACCCTGTGGTGCATGTGTTCACAGATAATAAGCTGAAACCCTCAGTTAATGAATTGTTAAAGTGTTAAACGCATGCTAAATGAATGATCCTTGGTAGTATGTGTAATAATACACCTTTTTTTTTTTATATAACTACCCTGTGGTGCATGTGTTCACAGATAATAAGCTGAAACCCTCTCCCCAGCAAGAACCTGACCAAAAGACGCAGACAGAAAACAGCAACCGGTAATTCAAAGGACTTTCATTAAAGATTTGAAAAGTAAAAACACAAAAAGCACAATATCATGTTGAAGTGTAATTTTTTGTCAAAATGCTTTCTCATATCTCAGTTTAACTATAAGTAAGCTATTAAGATTTATTAGCCTAAAAAAATGATGTGGATCTGC